ACTACTACTCCAAGGCCAACAACTACAACGTGCACAACAACTACCACTACTCCAAAAACAACCACAACAACTACTTCAAGAACCACAACAACTACAACGTGCACAACAACTACCACTACTCCAAAAACAACAACAACAAATACTCCAAGAACCACAACAACTACAACGTGCACAATAACTACCACTACTGCAAGTACAACCACCACAACAACTACAATGTGCACAACAACTACCACACCAAGGACAACAACAACTACGATACCGAACACAACCACCACAACAACACCAACTACTACGCCGTGCACAGAAAAACAAACGACATCTCCACCAACAACACCTTGTATAACAACCCCTGCACCAACACCATGTCCCAGCTCATTGTCCATCAATATTAACAGTAAACCATTGTCYTCCCCACAGGGTATGTTCTCGAACATAGATAACTATTTGGAGAGCATTTGCTCAGATAAGAGGAACGGCTTTTTGTTACCTTCGTTGAGAAATTGCAATGATTACTACGTCTGCCGCAATGGAGTTGCTGTCGAACTCAGCTGTGCTAAACTTCATTTCAATCCATTGAAGGGTGTCTGTGATCGACCTGAATATGCTGGTTGTCTCCTTGCTTAAAAGGTTATTTTCAAGCCCAGTAATTATTGAAAGAGAAATTTGCGATTAAGAAACCCTCACTATACACACACATATATATTCTTCTAAATAAATGTAAAATGTGCTGCCTGAAATAAATGACTTCGCTACTATTATATATGTATGTATATTTGCATATCCGAGTWTTTTTTAATATAATAAGCTAAATTCTACTTTTATCTTCCTGCAAATGAAACGTTCCAATATATGAAACATGCCTGCAATGTATTTATATAATACAAATGTATACGTATAATAACGTTATCAAGTCAATCAGGAGATCGCCATTTTACCAATTCTGACGCATGGGCACACTGTAATCAGAAGAATATCTCTATGGTATTTTAATAATATATTTTATGGATTTAGCGATTTCTTAATAAAAAGGCATCCATTGATATTAGTATCCAAATATTCGATAGGTGTGGGGTTTTAAAAATTTTTGRGCAAGTTTCGACAAATTTTGTACGTGATATAGAGCCTGGAGGTCCATGAGATTAGTGTTTATGCAAAGTTTTATTTCGATAACGTCATTCGGTTTTGATTTATAGTAAAGTATTAGTAATTGTATAAAGTAAAACAAWGAGATAGAATTTTAAATTGTGATAAGCGGAAAGTGAGCTTGGTATTAGTCTAATTTAGGTCACTACCCACAGTATGCTCCAAATTTGTAGTTCGTAGGATATATTTTTTTTACCTAAAAATGAGACACTCCATTATTCATTTTTGGCATCAGCAGCTTTAAAACTCTTAGGAACAATCTTGACTGTGTTTTAATTGTTTCGATTTATTTATTTAATGAAACCTGCACCCAGTACCAAAGTACRGTTTTGTATCACATAATTTGTGGTTTGGTGAAAACCATTTATAGTTTTCCGATTTATAACAATTAGAGCAATGYCAACCTTCGTGTGGTGCCATGAAAAACGTGTTCCAATTTTTTTCAAGATTGCTTCAACTTTCCTTAGGTAATTGAGTCATTAGGAATTCGTTAAATGAACAAAACTATGGCAGCATGCGAGAGTATAAAAAAGWTGYTTGGATTTGGTAGCCGTCCKATCGGCAAGTAAAGAAGGGCTAAGTTTAGGTGTATGCGGACATTTCATACTTTTGCAAGTTGCAAAGATCAAGGACCGTGAAACTCCTTCAGGTGCTGGAAAACTTTGAATTAAAAAATATTGTCAAATAATTTAGCATTTATTACTCAATGAAAAAAAATTTGGTATTTTCTTGACTTATAGTATATTTTAGATACACTTAATATGCAAAAGCTCACAAAATGCTTTCAGATTTCATTAAAGTATCTCATATAGTTAAAGTTGCCAATAAATTGGAGAAAAGTCAGCCCAATGTTCGAAAATCATGATATTAGGTATATGGGGTTAAGGTGAAGTTTTCGCCCTATTGTATCTGTTATATTTTAGGTATAAAGATATACTGTTGTGAGTAAAATACGCTATCTCATTTTCATTGAGATATATACCGTTAAGTGAACTAAACTGTTATACTTTGTAGCAACATTTTGCAAGAGTAAAATAACTTCAAGTCCAACAATTTATTAATAACCTAGTTTAAATAAGGTTATGATCGAAGAAGTTTTCCAATTTATGGTTTTTGATAAAATGGCGGCTTCCCAAAGTCGGTTGATGTGAAAAAATCTATACCTCACTTGGCTTACGTTAGGTAGGTCCTTGGGTTGATCCAAAATCAATGGATCTCACATGGACAAATATTTTTCCTTTGTGTTACACACAAACTGCTTAAAGTGCAGCACCTAAGGATCGACGAAGCGTTATAAGCTTACGATAAATTTATTTAGTTGATCGACATTCGWATTCGCTAGGTTCTCCAAAAATATGGCTTATTTCAGTGTCAGTTTGGCAAAAGACGGGCAATAAGACGAAAGTGGCTTCCTCCATACACCTTCGACGAAGAGCGTYCGAAAAAATATTTWGCCGTACTGCGCATATATCTAGTGAAAACTGTCCAGTCATAATTTCTACAATAGCTTGATTTTATTAAAAAAAGTAGTTCTTAAGACTTCTTACGGTTAACTTTATGCCAGAGGGATCTTGCAGTCGCACAAGCTTTACTTTTTGAACACTGCTGTCAAGCTCATCTATCGGTCCAACGCTCGAGCGCAAGTGGACATTACACAACCGACTTGCTTCCCATCGGATGAAACTGGGTTGGATGTCCCAGAAAGCTTACCGCCCTTGCAGTGACTCCTCTGTGTCGGGGTACCCAAACAAGTTTAATATGGAAAAAACTTCAAGTTGTTCAAATGAGGTCATATACATATCCTTAACAAGTTTTGAACCGCTAATAATCATATTATAGTCATATTAAAATATTGCTTCACTTAGAGTCTAGAGTCCAAACGATAATCATCTGAATAAACAGTTAAACAGTACGTGGCAATCCCATTACAAAGCAAAGATATGTACAACCAATATATTTGGCAAACATTTTKGCTTCTATATTCTGGGATGCGCAATATGCGGATGCGGAATATTGCAACGTTCGAAAGACGAGGTTTGGAAATTCGAACTCTTTGAAAAAGAAGATAGAAGACAAGATAAGAAGGCAACGCACGGTACAACAAGTCAATGAACACAGTGGCAAAATATCAAGAACTGAATTTTTTCTGMATTCTCCATATAATTAGATCTTCCTTTAAGTCTCTTGTTCTCTCCTCAAGACAATGGCCGCTGTAAATAAATTTAACGGCAATAAATTATATTCTGACTAAAAGTTTCTAATAGCGGTTTTTCTATTCTCAATAAACTTTTAATCAAACTTGCTAGTGTGCTTCTGATTTGAAAAGATTTTGAACTTTGTAAATATTGCGCTTGAAATTTATTTCCCATCAAACTTACCACTTGTGATTTATATTTATGTAATGTTAGTCGTCACTTTCACTATATAAGGAACTTCATAAAGGCATTTACTAATAAATCTTTTAGGACAATAGAATAGTAAAACTGAGAACTTTGTGTTTTTTAATATTTGTCAAGCTTTTATTTTGATTATTTCAAATTAAACGTTATTTTTGATTTCCTTTGTAGTTAGTAGCATCTGTTGAGTAGCATTGGCAAAATAGTTATTATATACAGAGATTGGATCTAAATCGTAAAATTTATGAAATGATATAGGTGGATCAAGAGCCAACAATTCGTTTGGGTAGTCCTGTGGACGGAGCTAAAAAATAGAACGTAAAAATTTTTAAAAATCGAATACAAATTATGCAGAAATTTACAGGTAACCCCATATTTTGATTTCTTTGGACAACGAACCTGATGAAACTGCTGCGAGTGTATAATTGGCACTTCCAGATTGGTGAAGCACATGCCCAGCAACATATCATCGGCATCTTGAGGATGGGTGCAGTGGCAATGACCGAGTAATTTACGTACAGCGGATAAACTCATAGCAACACCACCGCCGCTGGTTATGTAATTGAAGCCGTTGTTTATGTTGTGATGGAACCCGTAACGTTCGCCGAGATAAATATCGTTTGTGTAGTTGAAACATCCGAGCAAAGCGCATAGATTTGGAATGCTAAATTTGTCCATAAAGTTAAAAATGGTTAATGTAGATATATAGCATAATACTTGTACGAACCTTAGTAACGTATCATCATCGGCTAAAACCAACCAATGTATACGAGTGTTTTCATCTTGCTGACGCACCAAATTTTCCAATTTCTTATTAAAGTCATCGATCTCTCGCAAAGCTAATTTCAATATTGTCAGTGTTTTATTGCAATGACCGATTTCAGTGTTGGGTATACCGGTAGACTTTGTAGGAATTTGTGGATCTAACGATAAGAAGAAGAAAAATATGAACATTTGCAATTTTTGTTTGTCACAAAATACGTATGTAAATATTGCTTTGGATTCACCTGCCACATCGCTGTAATAACGAATATGTGATGCTGTGGGAGCCCAGGTTGCTTTAATAATCGGTATTCGATCAAAATGAAAGCGTTTACATGTTTTGACAGCAAAGAAAATGTTTTGCGGCCTCAGAGTATTCTAGAAGTTGAAATAGAGGAAATATAGTAAAAACTAAAAAATACATACAAATATATTAASGAGATGAATTTAGAAATATCCCATTCTCAGAATCGGTGGTATATACATTTTCGCTTTGGACTAGAGGCTTATTGTGCATGTCACTGTTTCGTTTATGCATTATATRGATTACAGATAATCTCGATGATTGTTGTTGTGAATGTTGACTTTCAAAAATTCAAAAAAATTGCTGATTGCGATATTGGAACTATTTGGTGATTAATACCGACTTGAATTATCTTGTTTTTATACAAAAATTTTTAATTTTGAATATAATTGTTTTCTGGTATAAAAACTGATTTAGAAGTAAATTACAATAGAAGTGCTCAAAACTCTGTATAAAGCTGGACGTTGTAACATTCTTTATGTTTCTTCAGAAGAAACCAATGCACCTTTTTCTAAACGATCTTTCAAATGCATTTCGAAAAATATTTTCAGATTTTTTGGAAAATTTATGAATTTTCCGCTGAGGAATATTGACCAGTATATTTATAATATTTTAAGTATATCAGAATAGGGATTTATTTTATGTATTATAGCTTCCGATTAGGTGATCTCTCTGAATTATTTCAAAATTTCTATAAAGGTTTCGGATGTAGAGAAAAATAATTTCCCATACGGCGAAAACTTCATTTAAAACAAGTAAAGAAGGCTAAGTTCGTGTGTAACCCAACATTTCATACTTTTGCAACTAGCAAAAGACGGGGAATGTACTTTTAGATGTTACCAACATCTTTTTATTAAAAAACGCTGCAAAAGACTTTAACATTCATTGTACGACAAAACCCTGCATAAATTGCAATCAACTGTGTTATTTGCTTAAGATATGTTATAGATTATGCATTCAATTAGTTTTATATGTATACAATATTTTACTGCCCGTCAGCGAAATTTATATTAAAATCATCTTCTAATGAGATAACCGAAGAGGCTAAATTTCATTCATTGAGTTGATGTGTAAAGCATCAAACAGAAAACCGAAATTAATGATATTAGGGATATGAAGGTTTAGATGAACTTCATTCATGTTCAGCGCTAAA